CATCGTCCAGGTGGGGCTGCACACTGGTGGTGGTGGAGGAGGGGAGTCCCCATTACCTGTAAAGCGCTTTGAGTGGAGTGTCCAGAAAAAGCGCTATATAAGTGTAAGCAATTATTATTATTATTATTATTATTCCAAGTCATTTCAGTTGCTGCTCTTAACTTCCACCTTGTTCAGGCAGGGTGTTCACGGCAGGGGTTCGAGTGAGACCACCTGACTCGCACCTCGATTCTTTCGTTTGCAGCTGATTTGCTCAGTGCTGAGGGGGGTCCGTGGGCCTCCAATGTACAGCGCAGGGAGGCTCTCAAGGCAGGGCAGTGCTCTGTCACTTGGCTCTGAGACTACACAGCTCTCCAGATAATCGCAGCACACAGGCTTTAGTTTGGAAGATACCTCTTCCTGATTTTTTTTTCTTTATATTAAAAGGTACGGCATTTCATATCGTTTAATGATTACACGACTTTTTAATTAGAAAACCACGGTATTTAGTCACGTTCTCTCCAGGATATTCTTTCAAGGAATCATACACGCTTTATGGTCGTCACAAACATTCTGTCAGGGGACGTAAACTAAAGCAAAGGTGTCAATCTGAGACTTGCGGCTTATTTTATATTCTGGTCCATCTCCCAGCGTCCTGCCTGCCTGCCTCTCTCTCCCGGCGAGTGGCTGTTGTCAGTTTTCCCTCCGCAGTGGTCGCCCGACCAGGCTCGGCGGCCATGGCTGGCTACCCTGCGCGATTTAGGTTTAACCGCCACCTGCGCTTTCCGCACCAGGACGGGCAAAATGAAGCGCGGTGTGTTTCTGCCGCTGGACTGGAACAAGTACGTCTCGCAGAAACGCAGAGTAGCGCCTGCATTGGAACCGGAAGCCGGTTCGGTAATTGGTCTCATGTGCAGCTCTGCGTCGGGATTAGCTGCTGGAACGAATAGGTGGCTGGAAATGAAGGGAGAAGGCATTTCACATCGTTTTTAGTTCACTAGACCCCCCTGGCTGTTGAACAGCCCTGAAAAGCTGTAATAACAGAAATAATCCCGCGAGCCAGCCACACGTTTTTAACAAGGAGTTGCTCATAAAGAGCGGAAAAACACAAGGCAATTTTAGAATTCACATCAAGTAACCGATTTCTCACATCGCCGCACTGACGGATCTGATGAAAGAGAAGTTGATCCCTTTCTTCTGCTGGCCTTTGAGGCCAAGCTTTCATTTCATGGAAAAAAATAGATGGCAGATTCTTTCTTTAGCCAAAGATGACATCCTGAACAATGAATGGAAGTAAGTGACAATACACGGGCATGGCTTGCCAAAACGAGGTGGAGCCTCCGGGTCTAGATTATCTGGCTAACAATGCCTCATTTTTGTCTGTTCCCTGAATCTTAATGAGAAGGTGGGCTCTTCTGTGTTGCCCATGCAGTGAATGTTTTTTTTAAAAAGAGCAATTTTTTTTTCCCCTGCAGAACTCCTGTTCTGGAATATTGCTGCACTTATTTTCTCCAGCCAGAAAATATGCAAAATTTTCAGCAAGGAAAAAAAAAAAACTAACTAGAACAGCACAATGAAAGAGGTCTGTGTAAGCAGTACTGTAATCAAAGGCTTTGCTGCCTTTGCAATAGCAGCTTTTTCTTTCATTAGCAGTCCAGGCTCCACTGTTTTCTTTCCCTCTTGCGCGTTTGAAGTGATGAATTTTAATGCAGGGCGTCTGCTTTGTTGACAGTTCGGGCTATTTTGCTGCTGATGAAAGACACTCAGCCTTCCCAAGGTTGAGAGATGAAGCAGACACCTCCACAGTGGGAGGACGCCGGCACACAGCTCTCAGCCTGCCAGCTTCCGTCCAGCCTGCATCTGTCAGGCTCCAGCTGACACCGGCAACGACACACGGGCGCTCACCAGCGTTTCAGGAACCGTGAGATACACTCAAAAGCGCAGGAGCAAAATACTCACGGTACATTACCTCCACACTTGGGGAAAACTGTACTGAAAAAGATATGCAGCTATGAGCATTAAGATGTACTTAAAAAGTTTTGCAGAATTTGAGAAATGGCTCCACAGAGACTTCTTAACATATTCCCCTCACAATCAGATTTGCAGAATTAAGATGATAATAATAATAATAATAATAATAATAATAATAATAATAATAATAATAATGCCTCCTTACACTTACACAGCTCTTTTCTGGACACTCAACTCAAAGTGCATTACAGGTCATGGGGATCCCCTCCACCACCACCAGTGTGCAGCCCCACCTGGGTGATGCGCCAGTACACTCCCCACACACCAGCTCTCAGTGGGGAGGAGAGCAGAGTGATGAAGCCAGTTCAATAATGGGGATTATTAATTATTAAGTCCATGGTTGGTGAAGGCCAGAAGGAAATTTGGCTATCTACACCATATATGCCATTTGGCCATATACACCAAGAAGCTCCAAAAATATTATTAATATAAACAATAATATTTATATTTTCCTTGATGACTGTTCCCTTGAAAGTGTCACCTGACTGTCTGGTTTGTTTCTGAGGGAGTCACATGGCGGTGAAGAAAACGTCAATCCAGAAGTGTATTTTAATAGCTGTTCTATGGCCGACTAACCCAGGAAGAGATAAAGGGTTAAACCTGTTTTGGAAGCGCTGCCTGCTGTCTCGGCTAAACTGGTTGTTTCTGGCCACTCCTCGGCTTTGCCTCTGAGCACAATCCAATTTCCAGCACGCTGGACAGTCTGGCACCATTTCACACCACTCACACGACAGCACCTGGGTCCAGATACAGCGCTTGCCAGACACGCAGAGAGACCGACGTTTAAGCACTTTTTCTGACCTTTCAATGGTTTGGGGAGGAAGTGGGCTGCTGGCTTGTTTTTCTTCACGTGATTACCCTTCATGATTTCCCCCTCCTTGTTCAGACCGAGGTACCAGCCCCTGCCCGACTGCTGCTGGCGGTAGATCATGGAAGAGTACGTCACATAGTAGTTCTCAAACACTGACTCCTTGAACTTGCATTCCGGTGTGAAGTGTTCCTGAAAGAGAGAGGGAAGAGGATGAGTCCACAGCAAGGAACAGCAATCTTAGTCAAAGCCCTAAGATATCCATAAATATCAACTGATGAGCTCGATGGGTCTCCTCTTTTTTGTGTCTTTTCTTGTATTTTAAACAGAATATAATGATATTGCAATTCACAGCAGTGGAGTAGGGTCAACTCCACAGGTCTCTGTGTAGAAAAACGAACTGAAAGCAGGTTCCCTTTACATGATGTGCTCATAACATGCAGCATCAAGCACATGCAGTATATACATATACAGAAACACGAGACCAGTCTGATATACAGAACACAAAATGACAGGATTTGAACATATCATGTTGAAGACTGAAGTATTAAATATACACTTTTATCAAATTTTAAGTGTTTAAAGAAATGCAGTCAGATATTTGAATTTACACATATTCAAAACATTTAAATTCCTATAGAGTCCAAGGTGTGTATTTCACTCAGATTAAACTTTGAAATTCTCAGGGGTGTTAAATGTCGAAAGTCTTTAAGATACATTTATAAGCAAACTAGTAAAAATTCTGCTTTTCCTTTCACCTCTTCATTTTAAAACTTTGGTAGCCTTTTGTCTTTCAGGTGCCCCAGATTGGCTTGTGAGTTCTGTGCTAACAGCTGGTTGTAGTCAGCCCCTCTTGAAGCCTCTTTTAAGAGCTCAGCTTGTTTGCCTTGTACACTCTCGTACAGTGGGAGCCGTGGGAGCTCAGACGGCAAGGGCATCCAGCTCCTGACCGGAAGGTCCTAGGCTCAGTCCCAGGTAGGGTCAAGCGATGGAGCTTGCTCTGATTCCTTCCAGACGGCTCCCAGGTCCACTCGGCCTGCTTTCCAAATGAGTCCCGGGGGTAATAGGCCAGCCAGAGTGTGATGCTGGCCGCATCTCCTCCACCTCCAGTGTCAGATGGTTGAGAAAAATGGTGGCCTTTGCCCCCAGCCATTCCCCCATGGGCCTTTACAGACTGAAAAGGGGACATTACCTACCTACCTGCTGACATACAGTACAGTGGTTTCTGTTTCCAGGCGAGCTCTTAAAGGGGTCTTTTAGGCATGCTTTTTGCCAGCAGTTATTCATTTCACTGACAATAGACAATCAAGAGAAGGAATTTGACGCTGTTGGATTGAGAGGGTTTGTACCACATGACATGTTCTGCTATGCTTGTTTTTCCTCCTTCAGCTGAATCTTGGGAACTTTTTCCACTGTTCCACATATATTGATTTATTAGGACTGCAGCTGTAGGGTAACAATGTGCTTTGGGAAAATCAAGTGAAACAATAGAAGCATCTGTATAGTTTTCTGCCTGTTCTCCCATTGTCTAGAGTGCTAATTAACTTCTGTTTGTTCTGTTTGAAGCTTTCGGACTCATTATTTGCAAGGGAAGGAACAATAAATTCACATCAGGGGTTCATTTTTCTTTTTAACTGGTTATACAACAGAGAGTATTCAATAACTGGAAGGAAGTCAGTCCCTATCCAAGGCACAGCAGGGACATTCAAATTTATAATGACATTTGCACAGCAAATGTCTAATGTATATCCAGTTATGTTATTCTCTCAAATCATCCACTCTTTAAAGGGGACTTTAGTAAGATCACTTTTTATAAATTTGACACTCGGGTATAGTTTTCAAAATCCAAATTGGATTAAACTGACCCATCCTGACCAAGAGGTAGCAGGTGTCTGGAACAAACAGCCCTCCCCCATTGTCGCAAGAAATTTCCTGGAAACTTTCAAGTTGACTGGCATTCTTCGATCAAAATGCTGCTTAGAAAGTCATCAAAGTTAGGTGGGTCAAATTAATCACATTTGTGGCCTTTCTTAGTCTTTATATGTACATATGGGTACACATCTGGGGACACCATTTTAAACCAGCAGCATGATCACAGCCATCTTCACATGCTTAAACCCTTCTCTGTCCTCACACAGTAATGACAGCATTAACTTCTGCCTGGCTCCTGGCTCAATAATGTATCCAATCACAGAAACAACGCCTTGAGCAGCTCTGAGATTGTGAGTGTATGGCAGGTGAAAACAGCTGAAAAGCACTGAGGCAGAAAGAGTGCAGTGAAGCAATATTACTTCTGTCCATAATAAATACAAATCTTCACAGACAACTGTAATCTCTTTGCTGTTCTAATGATTATGAAATGGTTTGACACAGCTTTTATAACTTCTACCATCAATGTTAAATCTATAGGTGAAGGTCAGGTTGATTAAACCAATTTAATAATGTATTTCTTTCAGGAGAGCTTGAATTGCACACAAAAAAAAATTACGAGATTTAAATGAGCACGAAGCATTTTTTTGTTCGAGATGAGCTCTTTTGCAAGGTGCTGTGGTCGACATACGTTTTTCTGCTTCAGCTGGAAAAGAAGAACCAGTCCATAGCAAAAAACATAATGACAATGTAAGTGGTTTTAAATATAATCAGAACAGATACAGTACATGAGACTATTTAAGATCATACTCATTTCCTTTCCAGAGAGCTTCTATTAATTTGCGGTAATGATGCAATACGAAGGCTTTCACTAATAGTGCTGTAAAGGGTGACTGGGTGAGACAACCCACAGGAACAGCTGGTCAAAAAATAGCACTGGCAGCTTCTTCGACTCCTGCGAGACGTTAACTCTGTACCCTCCAAAATAATAAGCAAGAAGAATATTTCGATGGTTTCTAGGGTGGAGCACACTCTGATACAGAGCACTGGGGAAGGGAATGAAAGTGCTCGTCACACAGGGTGGACACGAAACGCTGCTCTTCTTTCAAAGGTTTCCAAGTGAGACGCTGACGTGACGGGGATATCTGAGGAGCACCTCCCAAGGAAACACGAGTTCTGTGGAGAGCTCAGGTCGGAAAAGCTCACAGTGACTCACACTGACTTCAAGGAAACACTAAAGGCATCCTTCAAGAGATTCCTACTGTACGGTAATCAGCGATTCCTTCCTACATCACTTCCTTCACCACTCCAAGGCCACAGATCTCCCCCTGCCCTGTACAGGCTCCGCACTCCTGCCATGTGACTCCTTCACTGTCTTGTCTTTTGTTTTGTTCCTTTTTCCCAATATCTTATTTGGATTCACATTATGCACTCTTTTTTTTTGTTAATCGTCCTGGAACAGGGGCATCCGCTGAGCAGATGATGATGATGTAGACGTCGTGCTCGTCACTGCTTCTGCGGAACAGACAGCAATGTGGAGAGCGCCGCTCACCCTCAACGCACTGCAAGGAGGAGGAGTACAGCGGTCAGCAGGGAGCTTGTGATGAAGAGGCTGAAATCCGACCTGCCTCAGGATACAGAGCAGCCAACGCCCTCTCAGACACACACAGTTCTCGTGTTCCCCCTCTTCTCAGACACGCACACCCTCCAGCTGCAGACAGCAAGCACGCAGGAGCATATCCAGCAGGGTTACACAACACAGGCCCAGCTGCAGCCTTGCCTCATGGCTTTGTTACATCTCTTTAAGGACCAGTGCACAGACGGGGAGGTACACAGCAAGAGCCACAAAGCCAGCTACAGTAAGTGCACCTTTGCTGAAATCCCCCCATGAACTTCACACAAACAGGACACACTGATGCATTGCCAACGGGAAAGGGTGCCCTGCGTTTACACTGGGCCACTACATGAACGTTACAGCTTTAATTTTTTAGCCTGAACCTTAAAACAGTATTTACCCACTGTGAGCATACCCACTGTGTTCAAATGGACAACAGGTATCTACAGCAAACAATACATTTCAGATGCAACTGTTTCCATTATCAGCATCACAGATCTAACTTGTCAATACGTTCATTTGATTTGGTTAAAAAAAACCAGCACATACAACACTACACGTGAAACATTGTTTTTCCATCTTTACTTAATATTTAAATACTTTAATTTTGCTGGCCCAGTGATCAAGTTCTGCAACCATCCACCACCCTGTTTTGAGACAGGATTTCATAGGGATGCACTGCCAAGCTGCCAGTGCTTATCTCAAACAGGAGTGCTTAATATTGATATTAATATTGCTTCATGCACAAATACTGTACCTAACTGGGCCACTCTTCTCAAAAGAGCACAATTCCTCAATAAAGATTTTGCAAAGAACATGAAAGACATAAGCAGTGTAAACAATTATTAAAAGCACCATGATATGTGCTTGAGAACACAAAAGGATTATGTAGACAAAAGTTTGCATTTGCTTAAAATGCCATTAATGACAGTCTTCTGACTAAGCTTTTGTGCTAGACTTTGTTACAGTATTTTACAAACGCCTTAAACTGCCACTGATAATAGCCTATTCATTACTCCTCCTCAGGAGGAACAGTGCTTAGTGAGAAGAGTGGAAATTAAGCAGTTTATTACTATCTTCCAAACATCCCAGCTCAAAGCAACTCTTGAGTTCTGGTCAGTTAGGCTGGCTGATGTATATTAATCTCTGCATTGCATTAACGAACTCTGTGGGAAAGTTATATAGTACACTGATCTGCCGTTATGCTAGATCAGTCCCTCTTTGCTCAGGATAAATGTGAGGCCATTCAATTCTTTATTCTGCCTTGTTTTCTTCATGTTTATTGACCAAGACCATAAGCCCGTCCCCTTGGGAAGAGGCTACATGCTGTATACTTCAATCCCACAGGCAGTAAGGAGAGGAGCTCCCGGACCACAGGCAGGAAAAATGAGCACCTCCGAAGACAGGAAGACGAGGTACCATGGGGCACCCCTGACTGTTGTACGGTATCCCAGAATTCCAAAGTCACATGTGAACTCTAAATCAAGCTGTCAACTTTTCAGTGTTCTGTCACAGCCTGAACAACCTGAATACAGGTATTGAGTTCCTGGAATAGCTGCTTAAGTCTGTGAAATCTGCACTAGCTTCAGTTTTAATTTCTTTAGACTAGGCTCCTACTTGTTCTTTTTCCTTTTTTTGATTATACTGAGCTGAGCTGTAATTGTCATTGTCATTGTGCAGAGGACGCAGTGAATTCAGTGCTGTTCTATCTGTTAACTAGCTCTACCTTCATCTGGAGGATTAGACAGATGTGGGGGGTGTATGACAGAGTTGAAAAGAGAAAAGCTGAAAAAATTACCCTGTAATGCAATGAAAGACTAGATTTCCTTAATTGCTCTTGGTATTACATTATTATCTGAAAGTGTAAGACATGTATGTAAATTAGTGGAGATGTACCGTACTCCTTTCCACTGATCTTCAGGCACTTTAGGATACTTTTAAATAATCCCATTGAATTTCACTTACTGTATTTGCACTTGGAAAAACGGTGAAAGAAAATCTTTTTTTTTTTAAATGCGACATCACTGGACAGTATGTACTTTACACTACGCATTTGCAATTTTCATATTATAAAAGTGAAATATAGCAACTTTTTCCTTAAACATGATCAATGACTGAATGTTTCTGTTGGACGGTGCTGATACTTTGTCAGCACAGTAAGCAGCAGGCAGCCCTACAGTGTGAAAGTGTTCTAGCTGAATCAGGACTGTCATTACCTTCCCAGGGGTGCATCCTCACACGCCTCCACTTAGCATCCCAAAGCAAAACCTTGCATTTTTACACAGAGAGCCTTGCAGAGCACAGTTGCCTTAATATTTGGATTTGCAAATATTGGCATTCACGGTCACAAAGTTACGTTGTTGTTGTTTTCAATTTTGTGCTTTGCCTTTGTTCCACATCAAAGAATAGGGTGAACCGCAACACATCAAATGGGCTTCAGACAGAGACACACTGAAACAAGAAGAGAATGAACAAGACACTGTGCAGGCTTGTACTGCATTAGTGCCACTTTGCAAGACAAGAGAATACCTGGGAACGACAAGATTAACACAGGCAGCTCTGGCACAAAATGTATGGGGGAAAAAAAAGCATTGAACAGATTTTCAACTGCTGCCTGAGTCTGAAGGGCCGTGGAATAGCTACAGGGAAACCCCTCACACAGAGCCAGAAGGCGGACACAGCCCAGCTCTGCGGGGAGAGCTCTGCTCTCCATTTGTTTGAGGAATCCTGACACGAGCACACTTGCCTGCCGTCGTATTTTTGCTGCTCATTAGTTTTGTTAATGGACCTCGGCCCCCCGTCGTCTTTCTCCAGATAGAAAAAGATGGCGATTAGACTGTCTATTAATCTACACAGCGTGCTGCACTAAGGCGCAACTCAGGGAGGGAGACCTGGCTGGCTATGCCAATATTTTGTTTCCTTTCAGTCTTGGGATCCCTCACACACACACACACACACACACACACACACACACACACACACACACACACACACACACACACACACACACACAGGGCATTCCTGTGCCATGGCGGGTGAGTTTTGGGAAGGAACTCGTGCGATGCTTCAGATGAGCAGTGACAGCGCTCTTCAT